AGCCCCTAATAAAATGATTAAAAAAAACCTGGATTCATGGCAGAGGAGGTTGGAGGTAATAACAATGAGTACAAGAAAAGAAGAAAAAGTTCTAAAATTGATTGTGGTAATGATTGCACAACTCCTCTTGATATGATTGAACTATTCAATTGTATGACAGGTAGATTATGTGACAATAAAATTATCTTTTAAAAAAAGATTTAAGAAATATATATCCAATCTAATACACTTCCCTTTATCCAACCCCTGCAGACTCAGTCGCTAAAGTCCATGTTAGGATGGATGGAAAAGGGGAGGGAAGAGAATTAAAGTTTGATAATAAACCCTTGCTTTGTGCTGGTTACAGTGATGAATGTCCTAAACGTAGGCTATCGTTACATTCATGTTACAACTTGAAGAAAATGCTTTTGGTTAGACCCTATTTACGGAGGTTCAGAGAAGCCAAGTAATCTGCTTATGGTCATTTAATTAGTCAGTGGCAAAACAAAGGTTTGAACTCGAAATATTTTCACCCATAAGCCTATGCCACATCAATATTTCAAGTTAGTCTAATAAAATATTATGTGCAGAAAAATACTGTTAAATTACACATGCGTTTTCTGGCATAACAATTTGTGCTAGTTTTTCCCCAAGAACACATAGTAGGTAACTGATACCTTCATTAGCATAAGCTGCTCTCTGAGGGGAGCCAGAAAAGAATAGGAAAGTTTCAAGGTGAGGAGAGTGGTAGGGGGTGTTGAAGTCACTGGTGTGGAGACGTGAGAAACACTGGGAAACCTATTCCCGCAGTGGACTCTAGAGTTCAACATGTGTTTGGAAAGTGCTTGCCTAGGGTAGATTTGCATTTCTCATTTCTACAAGAAGTCTTTGCTACCATTGCATGATGCCTTCTCTGTCACTGGCCTGAAACATTTCAAAAGTTCCCCAAGTTCTAAGATAAACCTCAAACATGTTGACCTACATCCTTGCCTTCTCTACATTTACACTGGACCCCTGAGTCCATTTCTTATGTCCTACTAATGCCTTCTTTTTCCTCAGCTTTACCGAAATCTTTCTTTGAGTCTGTTCTTCTCCTGTCTCCTCTCCCCAACCCTGACTTCTGTGGAGGCTGCAGTAAAGCAATGCAGAAAAATAAGCCAGCGAAGATGCTGAGAGGCATGTAGGCTCAATCACATCGTCAGCCTTCACCAAGGAGAGAAGGTCCAGTACAGCTTCATTTGAACAAAGCTCTTTATCCTCAAAGCCCACCTTGCTTATATTTTTCATGTCTCAGCTAGAGAAGGAACTGCAAGAAACATCTTCTAACATCAAGCTCACAGGTCACTAGAAAAAATACCTCTGCCGCCTCCTCTGATCTTGTTTTCCAAGGAGTATTTTCCCTGTGTGAGTTTGGTTGGTATGGAAACCATGAAGCTCTGCTCAGGGAGATATTCCTTATATACAGAGCCTGGAAGACCTTAAGGTGAGTGTAGACAACCTTTGCTGGTCTAGGTCTATTAGCTAGTAGGAAAGACTGATGACATTTAGATCATGTGAACCATAAAGCGAGTCTGACTTATTAGTTATTTTCTTTTATAACATTGGATCATGTAGGGGCTGTGGTCTCTGGACCACACTGTTTTTAAAATAAAAAACTGGTCAATCACACATACCACTATCCAAAAGTTCTCCATCTTGCATCCTAGTTTTGAGGCAAATCACTACCTTTCTCAGGGCCTAGCAAATCAGATCAATTTCTGGATGGTGCATATTGGGACCCTCCAACAGTTAGTCCCTTCCTCGCCTCCCAGCTATAGGCACAACTTCACTTTATGGCACAATATTCTCAGATGTTGCATTTTTTACACATGGACAGGCTGTGATAGCCCTGCATAGAGTACGTTTATAGCACCATTCTCCCAACGGCATGTGCTCTCCTTGGGTCTCCATGTCATCTTTTGGCTATTCCTGCTGTATTTCTTTTTTGTGTGTGTGATGCTGTTGTTCATGTCATAGATTCCACTGTTTTAAACATAACTTTTATATATACCTTGAAACACACCCCCCACCAAAAAAATGAGCAACCCACTTTGTTACAATATTCATTTCCTAGTGGTGGTCTGGAACCAAACCCACAATCTCTCGAAAGATAAGTTTTCTCCTGTTGTAGTCCCTGTGGTGTGGTGTGTTCGAGCCATTGTGTTCCCTTCCTATGGAGAATCACACATCTGACACTCAGTAATATTAATCACTACCTGTGGTGGAGACAGTATGACTCAGCCCTCAAGTCTGGCCAGGTGCAGAAACTTAGTTGTTTCTTTGACCAGAACTGTATGGGAAGAGGCTCTTTTTCCCGGGGGCTGGTCAACTGGGAGGCCACGCTCTTCCACAAGTGGACAGATCCCACAGAATAAGTCAGGAGAAGAGTGCGGCTGCAGTCACATTTACGAGGCCCTCGATTCAGCAAATCAGCTCTCTCTTTCCAAATATTTCATTTATTTCAGTCATTTTCTTTTCACTAACTGTACTCTCTTGAATATTTAAACAAAGTTGTATAATCACAATTGCTTGGTTAAAGAGTGGATGGTGGGGGTGGGAGGGGGATCCCTAGCGCCTATCAAAAACATCCTTTTGGTTATGAAGTGAGAAGAAATATGATTGATACAGGTTTTTGTCTCTGGCATGGTAACTGGAGACACAGACAATGTGGTGGTGTTGTTATTAGGTGCCCTGGAATTGATTATGATGCATCGCTAGCCCATGTTTCAGAGGAGAATGATCCCATGGGATTTTCTTGGCTATCATCTTTATAAAGGCAGATGCCAAGTGTCTCTCTCTCAGAACCACTGAGCAGATTCAAATCACCAGTTTCTGCTAATGTATGCTTAACCACTGCACCACCAAAGCTTCTTTCTACATGAACATAAGCAATTAAAACAAGGAGCTTGGCTGACAGAGGCAACTTGTGTAGAATGTCCGGTGATCCCAGAGGACATCCTATTTTGAAGGCAAACTCCCCTCAACAGTGTGTGATAGAACGTGATAGCTCTCGGTGGACTCTGACTAAAGTTAGAAAGGATGGTTGTAGAAGCACTACTAGATTAGGTATCAGAAAACGCAGGCTCTTAGTCTGGTTACTCCACAAATAAACTGTATGCGGGAACCTCAAAATGTTTATGAGAAAAACCCATAAGCTTTTATTTCATTTTTTCAAGAACTTTTTGAAGCCTCCATGTCTAATACTCTGTGCTGTTTCATCTCATCAATTCCTTTATCAATAGATAAAGCGGAAGTAATAAAACAACAACAACAACCAAAAATCTTTAGTCAGTTCCAACTCATGAACTCATGGCAACCCTATGGGACTGAGCAGAATTGCTCCACAGGGGTTCCAAAGCTATCAATCTTTAGGGCAGCAAACAGCCTCATTTTCCTTCCACCGAGCATTTCGTGGGTTCAAGCTGCTGACGTTTGGTTAGCAATTCAGTGTTTAACTTACTGCACCACCAGGTCTCCTTGGGCTCTAATAATTCATGAACAATTAATTTACAGATGACAGATGTTAAGGTTGATTGAACTCTCTCTTCCCAACTTGCTTTCCTAAAATTCATCAGCATATCTTTTCTGCTCTCATCAGCCTGCTCTGGGCCTTACACACTGGCCTCTGCCTGCATTCCCTTCTACTGAAACCTCCTTTCTGCCCTTCTCCCCCCTCTGAGTCTGAGCTATTCTTCAAGACCCACATCTATGCCCACACATGCTTGAAGTCTGCCAAACCAACCCCTGGTGCCCCAAAGGCAGCTATTTGTTAGCACATTGGAGGGTTATGTGTTGGGGATGTGAACTGCTCAAGGGCAGAGTACGACCGATTCATGTTGATGCTGCCCCTAGTTTTCCTTTCTCCGTATTCTGAGAGCCCCACATGGGGTACAATGATGACTGTGACTTTCCCCTCCCCCTACTCTCTTGGGACTTCATCGTCTTCACCACACCCAGCCCAAGATTCCAACCTTTCAAAGAAACAAAAAGGTGGAAGGCTTCGGTCTCACTGGTTAGCCAGAAGTATCTGGTGCCTGTAGAGTTCTCTCACTTGTTTGAACATGCCCGCTGGTCCTAATGAGAAGTGGCTGCGCTGGCCTGTCAGCTGGCATCAGTGTTTCACCACTAACATGTCTAGTCCCTAGGAAGAAGACTGAAGAGTTCAGAAAAATGAAAATGTAAGCATATTTAAAATAATATTTGATTTTTTCATTACTGACACGTGTGTTTTCTGCAAAGTGGTTAGAAACAGCTGGCATGCCATTACGACAATTTTCAGCACCATATCCAAAAGGCACTAATCTTAAGATTGTTTTACTGGATTCCATTTCTTGCTGATATAAACTTAATCTACTTTAAAACATGAACTATAGTCTTTATGATATTCCAAAGCGTAAAATTAAAATTTAATATTGTAACTCCCAGATAAATCTCACCCGAGTTCAGCTGGAAGACCTGCTTCTGTTACAGATTGGGCTCAAAACCACCAGCAGTTCCATGGGAGAAATATATGACTCTCTCCGTCCATAAAGATTTATAGCAGTGGCTCCCACCCTTCCTAATGCCGCAACCCTAATACAGTTTCCCATGTTGTGGTGACCCCGCAACCATAAAATCATTTTCGTTGCTACTTCATAACTGTCATTTTGCTACCGTTATGAATTGGGCGACCCCTGTAAAAGGGTCGTTCGACCCCCAAAGGGGTCGTGACCCACAGGTTGAGAACCATTGCTTTACAGTCTCAGAAACCCTAGGGAGCAGTACTTCTTTGTTCTGTAGGGTTGTATGAGACAGAATTAATTCAGTGGCAGTTTTTCTGTTGGTAGTTCATCCGATGAACTTCACAGTACTATGATGCTCAACATTATAATGTATACAATGTAATGTAATACTGTACATGGCATCGGAGGCATCAGTAGATGAGTAAGCAAACACCTGCCCCACATCATGCCCAGACCCCCAAAAGAAACAAAAGGCTCTTGTAGGTTGCAAGTCCTGGTCTGGTTTATTTATAAAGCAATAAATATTAGAAGCACAAATAAATTGCACATGTGTAAACAAACTGTACAATGATGGATGAGAGATGAGGGAGGGTAGCTTGAGAGACTCCAAGAAGCATAATACGGTCATCCTGAATGTTAGGTAGACTAAGAGGGAAAGCACCTTCCTTAGAAGCATTTGCGGTGGACAATGGACGGGCCTGCCTCATCATATTCTTGCTTGCTGATCCACATCTGCTGAAAGGTGGACAGGGAGGCCAGGATAGAGCCCCCAATCCACACAGAGTACTTACGCTCAGGAGGAGCAATAATCTGCAGAGAGAAGGAAAACCGAGCCTCCAGTGAACCTGCGACTTCCCAAGCACCCAGCAAGCAGCATACGGGAAAGGTTCATGGAAGAAAACATTAGCTTTTAACTCAGTGTAACACGGGATATCTCAAACTGAAATCTAATATGACCAGGTCAACTTGTGTGGACCTCCCTCCAGTCCACCCTCCCCATGATCAACCTGAAAGCAAACCCACGGCCTTTGAGTGGATGCCACAGCCACCCCCCTCCATCGGGTTTCCAAGACTGATGCCTTCATAGAAATAGAAAACGCCATCTCTCCCCTGTGCAGGGTTTAGCCATTTCCCACTGCCAACTAAGCCATTTGTGAGCCCACTGTGCCAGCAGGGCTGCTACTCTACATACCCAAGTCTCTACAAAATAAGGATTTTCTTAATTTCCATTCTCTGAACTAGAGAATAATGTAGCCATGTGCTCAATGTCAGGTGAATTCTAGCCCAAGTGTTGGGGACTTAATGTGTTCAAAACCATATATATTTTTTTCTTCAAAGCTGTATTTTTATCTACTGCTTGAATGCATTTATTTTTTTTTCTCATCTTGGGAATGGTGCTTGAAAACCCAGATGCTAGAAAAGTGAACAGGTGAATCGTGTCAGAGACAGGAAGTTAAGCGTAGGAGGAAAGGAGTTGTTTGGAATAACAGTAAGGCTTGCTTTGATTTTCCCAGGCACGGATGTACTTTACCTTAATCTTCATGGTGCTGGGAGCCAGGGCGGTGATTTCCTTCTGCATGCGATCAGCAATACCAGGGTACATGGTGGTGCCTCCAGACAAGACGTTGTTGGCATACAAGTCCTTGCGAATATCAATGTCACACTTCATGATGCTGTTGTAAGTAGTTTCATGTATGCCAGCAGATTCCATACCTAGGAACAAGATTAAAAAGAAAGAAAGAAAAGAGATCACAGTGTATTTGATTGGCAGGGGGAGGAAGATCTCTGTGTCAGGGAGCTGTCATCATTGTCTCTGAAACATATGTTCCCCTATAAAATATACTGGATGACATTTGTGGAACAGGTGTTTCTCAAAAGCGCTGACAGGGAATCCACAGCAGACGGCCAAGAAAGGAACAGCTGTGTTTAGCGCCCAGATTGGAGCGACTACCTCGGTAAACCATCAGATGTCCGGGAGATACTTTGGGAAAGGACAGGACCCGTATTTCAATGTGTGGACTGAACTAAGAGCATGGCAAGCTTCCGCTTGAAAACTTCACTCCTTATTTAAAAAAAGGTTTGGTGGCAGAGGCAGGTCAAGTTGCTGGTAGGAATACTGTATCCTTCAAGATGAGGAATTGAGAAGAAAAGTCACCCTACTTGGTAGTTGGAGCCTATTAGAATAAGTCAGCTCTCTTAACCCACTCTGCCTCCTTCTCAAGAGATAGGTGATATTCAGCAACTACGTTGTCTGGTCCTTTATTGTGAAATGAAGTCAGTGATGTTATCGGTTATGGTGTCACTGGTGCGGAACACGGACTCTCCACTTAGTGAGACATTGGGACTTGAGACCGAGTTGTGTGGGACTTGCCCTAGTTCAAGAGCTCTTTCCTCTTTCCAGGACACCGCAGGATGCCCCAGGGAAAGCTGTGCTTGTGCTCCGGCCCCTACAACTCACCAATGAAAGAGGGCTGGAAGAGCGTCTCCGGGCAGCGGAAGCGCTCGTTGCCAATAGTGATGACTTGGCCATCAGGCAGCTCATAGCTCTTCTCCAGGGAGGACGAAGAGGCGGCGGTGGCCATCTCATTCTCAAAATCCAGGGCAACATAGCACAGCTTCTCTTTAATGTCACGGACGATTTCTCGCTCGGCTGCAGACAGGAAGGGGATCACAGTCAAACTCTGAAGAATGAAGTCAATGGTGGGCAGGTGGGTGGGTTTGCTGAGGAGAGGAAACAACAAGCACACACGGAGACTCGCTCACCAGTAGTGACAAAGGAATAACCCCGCTCCGTGAGGATCTTCATGAGATAGTCGGTGAGATCACGCCCAGCTAGATCCAGACGCATGATGGCATGGGGCAAAGCGTAGCCCTCATAGATGGGGACATTGTGGGTAACTCCATCCCCAGAGTCCAGAACAATGCCTGTCAGAGGAAAGGGGAAAGAGCAAGGTCAAAGCCCACTGCTCTAGCCAGAGCAAGGCCTGCTTCCAATCTTGACGGAGAAATCCTAGTCCTGGGCATTGATTCAGGTAACATGAGATCCCTGCCCATCATAGAGCACTGAAACCGAACAGCTGAGGCCAGCAAGTGTCCATTCTTTTAGAGGTGGCTATAGACACCCCCCACCCCCGCCCCATGCTTCCAAATGGCCATCTACGGTAACAGCTGTGAGCACATTCTATATAAGCACCCAGGCCCTCTGTTGTCTAGCGTACACACATTTCTTTCTTTTTTCACTCAGATTCTGTGAAGAATGAGGACGTTCTTGGAAGATGCTTGCCCTGCGGCTGTGATGGTGTAAGTGACAGCTGCGTGCTAACATTATGCAGAGCTTTGGGGGGTGACCTCGCATATCTTAGACAAGGGAAGACTCTAACCCCAAGTACCCTGGCTCTCTGAAGTGCTCTGAACTAACTTTGGGGTGCTATTGTCATGAATCTCTCAGCCAGGGCAGGTGAGGAAGAGACCTTTCCCTTTTCACCTTGAGAGCCCTTGACCCAGCAATGACTTGGGAATGAATGTGCCTAAGCTATGTCCCACAGCCCAACCATACCTGTGGTACGTCCAGAAGCATACAGGGACAGCACCGCCTGGATGGCCACATACATGGCAGGGACATTGAAGGTCTCAAACATGATTTGGGTCATCTTCTCCCTGTTGGCTTTGGGGTTCAACGGGGCCTCGGTGAGTAGGGTGGGGTGCTCCTCTGGGGCCACGCGGAGCTCATTGTAGAAGGTGTGGTGCCAGATCTTCTCCATGTCGTCCCAGTTGGTGATGATGCCGTGCTCAATAGGGTACTTGAGAGTCAGGATGCCTCGCTTGCTCTGGGCCTCATCACCTACATAGGAATCCTTCTGACCCATACCCACCATAACTCCCTGTAGGAAGAGACGAGATTCGACCATGAAGCTTCGGACAAGTGATGCACTACCAGGTGCCCTCTAATCACCCTGCCAAATATAAACGTATAAATACTGCCACTAGTAAAGGACTGTAGAACTTTACACCAAGTTAGACAAAAATGTTAAGTCCTCCTCCCAACAGAGGTATACTTCTGTTGTTCAGACTATAACCATGTGTGTGGAGGTGGGGGGTGGGGAGAAACTGATTTCACCTCCTTTTTAAAACACCATTAATGGTTTTACGGAATGAGTAATCTCGCTCACGTCAATCAGAACAGAGATAGTCATGCTTCAGAATGACTGGCTCAACAACACATGGTATCGCTGCTCAGAGAAGATTTTTGACATTCATCCAGTGAACATAAAAAGATAGACAGCTATGCCATGAGCACCCGGCCAGCCGGCCCAGAGTCACACAGCCTCGGGAGCCAGGCATGTCGCAAGCCCGCAGAGCCTGGCATTTCTCCTGATCAGCAAGGTGGTATCTCACTCTCACCATGACACTTCCTGCCTCTGTCCAGCTTATGTTCTAAAAACGCACCAGCCAGGAGGCAGATGGATTGCACCTTTTGGGAGCCCTGTGAACTGTGAGAGAGAGGAATTCCAACAGGGTCCCGGCTGACTGGGAGAAGTTCGGTGATTGCTGAGTTTTGAACAGGACTGAAAAAGGAGGCTAGAGGAGTGGACAGAGGAGAGACCGAGGGTTAAAAAGCCTGAAAGTTGGGAGTGGAGCGAAGGCGCTGGTGATTTTTCAGACACCGGAGCCAGGCCCTTTGAGGGTGTGAGGGTGGGGTGGATGGAGGGAAGGGGCACCTTCCTTGCTGGGGATTAAGTATTGCCTGTCTTGGCTTAGCCTGTCTTTTTCTTATTTGACCGAAGTGTTCTCGGAACAGGAGAGGCCGTTCAGGCGCATCCTAGATGGCCGGGCTGAAGAGGTACAGGTATGGAGGAAGGGACATTGAGTGGGCTGTGGCTGTTCCCGGCCGGGCAAGCCAGGCAAGGGGGGCCATTTACCTGGTGCCGAGGGCGGCCCACGATGGAAGGGAAGACGGCTCGGGGCGCGTCGTCGCCCGCGAAGCCGGCCTTCACCAGCCCAGAGCCGTTGTCGCACACCAGGGCGGTAGTCTCCTCGTCGTCGCACATCTTCGCACAGCTTCAGTGGGGTCTGCAGGTTGGAGAGAGCAAAGTGGCTGGCGGAGTGGTCCTTGTCGGGACTCTGGGAGGAGGGGGTCATGGGAAGCAGGTACTTGGAGCAAACGCTGGCCACCTCTCCCCGCTCAGCCAAGTAAAGAAGAGGAGGGGGAAACCTCAGCGGGAAGGAGGTGGGGAGGGAGGTCTGCCAGCAGAGAGGAGAGGAACCTGCCGGAATCTCACCCTCCGTCTCAGGTGAGAGGAGGGGC